GGACTTAATAACAGTAATATTTTTTAGGATTTTTTCTTCTTCTGCTTCTTCTTCTTCTTCCTCTTCTTCTTCTTCATCTTCTTCATTCGAATCTATTGCCTAAAATTGATCCAAGAAGCGCTATCCATCTTCTTCTTCTTCCTCTTCTTCTTCTTCTTCATCCATCATCATGAAATTCGAAAATTGCAACAAATATAAAATCCAAAAGAAGTCAAGACCTGTTTGTTACCTTCTTTCTTTCTCTCTCTCTCTTTCTTTCTTTTTCTCTTTCGTTTTATGTTTAAATGGCAGTTTTTCAGTTTCTCAATCATTACCATCTGCTGGAGAAAGGATAATAGCACGGGAACGGATATATTTTGGAAGGGGACATTAAAGAGAGAGAAAAAAAAAGCAGACAGGCAGACAGGAGAGAAGTGAAGGTCAAGAAAAAAAAAAGTTTTTAGAATTTAATGATAAAATGTGTGTGTGTGTGTGTGTGTGAGAGAGAGAGAGAGAGAGAGAGAGAGAGAGAGAGAGAGAGAGAGAGAGAAGAGAGAGAGAGAGAGAGAGAGAGAGAGAGAGGGAGAAAGGAGAGAGAGAGAGAGAGAGGAAAGAGAAGAGAGAGGAGAGAGGGGGGGGGGATATTGAGAAAGAGGAATAGAGAAAGAATGAAAGAGAGAATTAAAAAAAAACAAAAAAAAACATTCTTGGAAGAACTTAACAAAGCCAGCATAACGGGGAACGTCACCTATGTCCATTATGAAATTGCTTTTCTCGGAACACGCTGTTGCACATCAATAAACGCAAGCACTTCGCGGGATATTGCGCAGAGCCAACATAAAAAAAAAAAAATCCCCCCCCCAAAAAAAAGACTCCCAAGGCTACTGAGATTCCACAATCATAGGACTAGACCCGAGGAATGTAATGATTTTTATCGCAATTACCTTTTCCTCTTTCTTTCTTAATCAAGATCACAAGATGGCGGGGCGGATGTCAGGCCCCGACAATCAATAAACTGTTGTATTGACGCTGTGTCGCTGTTATGGCCATTATCCTTATCAAATACGCTTCGATCCTGTTCTAAATCGTGTTATAGGGGATTAAGTCTTTATCAGCTAGCGGCACTGGGTCGTCTTCTTAGTACTTATATGGATTTTGTATTTACCTCCCTTTTTTTCTCTTATTAGTTCCGTAGTACTCATTAGTGGCGCACTAATGAGGTTCTAGGCAGGTCGTGGCTTGCTGCTTTTTATTTTATTATTTATTTTTATTTATTTTTATTTATTT